AAACAAGCTTTCCATTACAAATTCCCTTTTTTCCCCACGTATATTCTTACAAATCTCTGTAAAAAACAGTTGACTACTGTTCTCATTCTAACAGCCTTTTAAAAGTTACGCTCCTGTTACTAGAATCCAGAGATGATTTTTTTTTTTTTACCAATACCTAATTTGTGCGTTTCAAAAGAGCGAGTGTTTCTGCTCTGTTCCTCCCTGTAGGCATATAACGTGTATTGCGCTCAAGAAAAGTATTTCCACCAGCTGAGACAATTTGCAGACTTTGAAGAAGCAAATCAACGGTCCGGTGTTGCTGGTTTTTCAAGAGCCTTGTGTTTAGGCTTATTAGAAAGCGGTGATCTTTCCATTCCCCTGAAATTTCGTATCTGTTCTGCTCTCTTTTACTTGGGATGGATTCTTCTGATTCTGCCTTTAACTCATTAATCCAAAAGTTCTGAAAGTTTTCAAAGTAACAGTAAAAATTTGAAGCATTATTCTATTAATACAGTTGAAGTGCCAGGTATATTTCCCGCACGAGTACTTTCATTCCAGTATAAAAGCATCCATTTTAGTAAAACTTCACCTCCGAGGTGTCATTTTTCCAGAGGATCCATCTGTGGTTCAAGTGTGGCGCACAGAAGAGAAAAAAAATGCGTTCTCCATCCTCTGCCTTTGCTTCCAAGGGAAACTCTTAAATCCTGCCACTTAGGAACTAAGTGTGGATCTGATCTGTGGGCTTTTATTATTTTTTTTTTTTTTTTTCCCTGAAAAGAAAGGCCAGGATATTCTCAGGAGCCTTTTGAAGTAACTTTTTGTCCAATGTTATCTCTAAGCTGCTCCATGCATTGCATCCATTGAGCATACGGTAGAAGTGCACATAAGTATTCGGAAGATATAAAATTGTGTCAAACATTTATCTGTTTTCTGCTACATATTTGGGAACCTTATAATATATTTTTTTTCTTAAAATCCTTAACTCCTTTCCTTCAGAACTTCTTTTCTAACAGGTGATGCCAGTGATGAACTGCAGTGTTGGCCACTTAACGGTATTTCTACAAATAACAGAAATAAGAAATCTTTCTTCAGACATACCAAAAGTAGATGCCACAGAAGAGTCTGATCCGTGTATAAAACGAGAGCCTAGGAAATACAAGACCATAGCAAAAAAAGTCTCCAGGAATTCTTTGCATTTGTGTTTACCGTGGAAGGTAGCGAGGACATTCCCACCCCCAAACTTTTCTTTGTAGGGAACTCATGAGAGCATCCTGGGGTGCATTAAGAGGAGCGTGGTCAGCAGGGCGAGGGAGGTTCTCCTCCCCCTCTACTCTGCCCTGGTGAGACCCCACCTGGAGTACTGTGTCCAGTTCTGGGCTCCCCAGTTCAAGAAGGATGAGGAACTCCTAGAAAGAGTCCAGAGGAGAGCAACAAGGGTGATAAAGGGACTGGAGCATCTCTCCTGTAAGGAAAAGCTGAGGGAGCGGGGCTTGTTCATCCTGAAGAAGAGAAGACTGAGAGGGGACCTCATCAACATGTACAAATATCTCAAGGGTGGATGTCACGAGGACAGAGCCAGACTCTTTGCAGTGGTGCCCAGAGACAGGACAAGGGGCAATGGGCACAAACTGAAGCAGAAGAGTTTTCAGTTGAACATGAGGAAGAACAACTTTGCTTTGAGGGTGACAGAGCCCTGGCCCAGGCTGACCGGGGGGCTGTGGAGTCTCCTTCTCTGGAGATATTCAAACCCCGCCTGGACAATGTCCTGTGCAACCTGCTCTGGGTGAGCCTGCTTTAGCAGTGGAGTTGGAATGGATGATCTCCCTTCCAACCCCTGCCATTCTGATGTTTCTGTGATTCTGTGATCTCTCTTAGATGAAGGTGAAGGGCAAGGAGGCTACGCAACAGACAAAAGGAAAATAGCAGTTTGCAGGAATAGGTGGTACCTACCCGATCTCACGAATGAGATAACACACCCACAAACAGTCGTGTTGAACTTCTTGCTGAAAAGCCCATTGGCTGCAGGGTGCTGGAAAGTAGCAAATACCCTATTTTTTAGACAGGATTCTGGCAGACATCTGAAGGGGAGATCTGTAAGCCTCTGTCAACGAAATAATAGAAACTGTAACAAATAATAGTTTTAGTGGGTTATACCCGAGTGTTACAATCTTGGGAAGAGTCCACGTGGCTCTGATAAAGACATCAAAAAACCCAGTTAGACCCTGCTTTTCTTCATATTCTAAAAGTCTTGCTAAAAGAGATAAGCAGTGAGATGACAAAATGTACTGATGTCATGGAATTATCCAGAAGAGCAAAACTAAAGAGCGATTGCAGACCAGAAGGGCCTTAGAAGATTAGGTGGGCAATAAAACCACAGCTGAAATTAAATGTAGATAAACATAGAATGATACATGTGGGAAAAAACCCTGACTAATTCCACTTGAGAAATGGTGGGCTGTGAGCTGTTCGGCCACAGTCTGAGGTGAGATCTAGAGTTTACAAAGTGTCATTTCAGAAATAGCCAAAAAAGCAAACCCATTGTTACAAACTATCAGGAAAACAACGGAGGCTAAGAAAGAGGATGTTGTTGAATTACTGTATAAACTCTTAGTTTTCCCACGTCTTGTCCTTCCTTTAAAGAACAAAAAAGTAGCAGAAATAGGAAAGCTTGAGCAGGGGCAGCAGCAATGATTAAAGGTGCCACTAGTTACCACACGGGGACTGAGCAGTAAACCAGGGCTCCTTCATTTGGAAGAGAGGCGACTGAAGAGAGAATGCGCTGTGCCGTCATCTGTGGCACAGCGAGGGCAGTCAGGAGCTGAGTGTTTGCCCTCTTTCAGTGCAATAACAAGAGCCCTGTTGTAACTGGGAGGGCACACATTCAAAGTAAGCAAAAGGAGGTGATGTTTTACGTCACGGTTAATTGAGCTCTGCAGCTCTCTCCCACAGGAGATTGCTATGCCAAGAGTTTAGTTGGATCCAAGGAGGCAGTGGGCAAGTTCATAGAACCAGTCATAGAATCATTTAGGTTGGAAAAGCCCTTTAAGATCATCAAGTCCAACCATTACCCTAACCCTGCCATCCCACCACTAAACCATGTCCCTAAGCACCTTGTCTGCCCAGCTTTTAAATTCCTTCAGGGATGGGGACTCCACCACTTCCCTGGGCAGCTCGTTCCAGTGGGGAGGACCAATAAGTACACACAAACCAATAGAGCAAAAGATATTTTGTGAGCTGAAGCCAGCTGCAGGCTGGGAGACTGTCCGAAGGAAGTAGCATTCACACATCTCCCAGTCTTAGTCTTTGGTAGGGGCCTCAGAGCTGCTGTTGCAGGTGGAGGGTGGGCTAGATCTACCCTTGGTATCATCCAACACGGCTGTTCTTAACACTGAAGCTCATAGTTCATTACTCCTTGCGATTCCACATAGTTTACAAAGCTATCATAGAAACGTGCGTGCACTGAGAATAGCTTCTTGTGGTAGAGCATGCAGATGAAACAAACTGCTTAGTTAGACTGTGGCTAGGAGCTCATTTATACAAATAACTTCTTAAGTGATTGCTGATAACATCTGAATCAAACCGTCCATCTGCAACGGCTCTGCTGGTCACGTGCAAGGTGCTATCTTACACATAGGAAAAGCCAGAAAGAACCATTATGGTGTGTCATTGTGTTGTCTTTTGGAACTCATTTATGCGCACAAAAGGTATAAAAATACTGGTAAGGGATTTTTTTTTGTTACAAATTTCAATAGTCAGAAACTTGTTAATATGTTAGTCCAGTGTTTCATCCGCTTATCCAGGTTAAGTTAGGACTTGTAGAATGAAAGACACCTAGGATAAATGTAGATATGTTTTAAGGAGTGTCTTGTCTAATTTGCTAAATAAAACAGTACCAAAAGTAGTGCTGCTGTCGCCAGAATTACTGACAAAATCTAACCTGCCCCGGACCACTCTTTTGCAACACGTTTGGTTTTTTTACTTAGAAAAATAATTTAGCTCACCTTTATTCATCATTTAAGCAGTGCTTGCATATCCCATTTGTCAACTTATACAATGCTCAG